GCGGGGCGCCGGCCCCCCCGGCGGGAGGGGAGGAGAGGGGAGGAGAGCAGAGGAGAGCAGAGGAGGGGAGAGGGGGAGGCTGAGAGGAGTGGAGAAGTGGGGAGGTGAGAGGAGGAGAGGAGAGGAGAGGACAAGGGAGGAGAGGAAAGGAAGTGACTCATTTCCTTCCAACTAGGTCTGTCTACTAACAGGGTAGTGTACTTTGACCCAGTCATTTCTCAGTAGTTCGGTCACTAGCTAGAGACCAAGCAAGTCTTCATACATGAATCTGGGGAGTCGTCATACATTTTTCATCTAAATCTTAATATAACTACATTTATTTTTTAATTCCATAAAGTTCAATTTAAACTTCCAGGAAGTTTTCCCTTAATTTTTATCTCATTTTAAAATTAAATAGAAACTCATTAAAAAATCTGAAAACATGTAGTCAGGTTGAAGGATTAATGCTGTGAGAAAGAAAGGTTTATTTTAAGCTACCCTAATAAAAGCAATGTTGTTTCCCAAAGCAATAAATAACCAAATCCATCAGGAAGAGAGGATGAGAAACAAACTCTGTTCATTCAATCTCAGTAAAGTGCATTAGGTCTAATTGTTATTCACACTGACAAACACTAACATGGGCCCCATATAAATCAAACTTACAAAAACTAGATGTAGATTAGTTATCTAATTATGAACTATAAATCACTCAAACTCCAAAAGGGTCACATTGAAGGTCAACTTCATGACTGGGGGTAGATAAAGATATCTAAGAGAGGATGCAGAAATCAGTTGCTTCATGGAAGGAGTGATGCACAGAACTGCACAAAAGTTAAGTGCAGCATTTGATCAAAGACTCACATAAGATATGCAAAGAAGTCAGAATTTAGGAGAAAATGTTTTTATACATAGATACATAGAGCAACAACACTGGTTGAGCTATATGGATAAGTAAATTCAGAGAGAGAGAGAGAGGAAACCAATATAAAATGTATAAAATATCAAACATTATATTCTAGAAAATGGAGTCCCAAAACAGCAAATAAGTACTAGAAAACATGAAAGTCATTTCTGTGCTAGAAATATGACATATCACAATAGAACCATACTGTGGCTTCATCAGAGTAGCTACAATGTCAAAGATTGACAATGACAATACCAGAGAAAGCCTAAGGTGAAAGAAATCTTCATTCATAGTTGATGGAGATTTAATTAGCAAAATCATGTTTTGGAAAAATGGCACAAGTAGTCAAAGTTAGACATGCACTTAAGACATGTAGCAATTCTTTTTAACAGTTTATTGGTTCTTTGTGAATTTCATATCATGCACGCCAATCCCATTCATCCCCCTCTCCCCTCACAGCCTTCCTTCTCCCTTGCAACATCCCCTCAACCAAGTAAAGTAAAATCTTATTGTGGAATCTGTAGTGTGTCAAACCATGCCCTTTAGTCCACACTTCTTTGCTTACAAATGTTCATTGCAGTGACTTATTGGTATGGTATGAGCCATGTGTTATGGCTTCTGCTACTCTATTGATATTGGAACCTCACTGGACCTCTCAGATATCCTGTTGTTTCCCTGAATCATGGAGATACTGTAATTTTGGATCTGTAAGACTGGCCCCTTTATGCACTCAAGCAATTTATCGATGGAGTAGATGTTGAGGTGGGTCAATTCAGAGCCCTGAATATGGGCCTGAGAGGTATTTGAGCTGGTTAGACCACAGACTTTCCCGTTCTCATCCCTTCAGGCCATCTCGGCAGAAGCTCCCACTACCAGGGCCAGCTTTACCCTGATGCCCAGGCAAGGTACAGGGCCTGCTCTCCTGAGTGCTGCAGCTAGAGAGGGGCAGGAATAGCTCTCCTGCTCTTGTGACCCCAGGGCCACCTCTCCTGTCTGCTTTAGGTACTGAGGGGGAGGGGGAAGAAGGAGAAGGGCCTCTCTTTCTTGCCTATCCATTGCACTGGAGATGAATAATAGGGCTGGGTCTTTCCCAATCATATCCTTGGGGCCAGCATACCAGCAGTGTGTGGGCGCCTCTCCCCAGTACTGCAACTGTTTAAGGACAGGTTCAGCGCTCCTGCTTTCATGCTCCCAGAGCCAACACTCCTCCAATGTCCAGGTAAAAGTGTGGCCAGTTCTACACAGTCCTCAAACTTCAACATGTCCCTGGGCGATTACTTTGACCAGTGATGTCTTCCTGGACTTTGGTGGTAACAAACCCCTGCTTCAGAGTCATGGACCCAGATGTGGTCTCGGTTGCAGCCCACCATAGTCCCATATGGCATCACTGGCTACTCACATCAGACTGTTTCTCATTACTCCCAAGCTTCCAGTTCTACCTCTCTCCATTGTGCCCACATCCATCTGTTTCTGTTTCTCTTCCATTTCTTTACCAGTTACTTGCTCCTTGTAGAGCACCTGGGGTCTTTGAGTGTCAGGGTTCATCTCAGGAGTGGTCTCAGGAGTACTATGTCCTGCTCGTGGATTCTGTTGCCCGGCAGTGGTCATCTTGGGCATGGCCTTCCCTTCCAAGCCTGCACACCACCCAACTGATGGTTGTCTCAGGCTTGCTCCCTGCCTAGACTCCATGGCTGGTCCAGATTCATGGTTGTCTAGAACTTAGTTCTCACTCTGTCCTCCCAAGTGGCTCCGTGTGGGTCATCTGTCTTGGATTCACCTGTGGCCCTCAGTCCCTAGCAGGGCTTCTGGTTTTAGGCTTGCTCCTGGTCCTACAGGTCATCACGGCCTGCTCAGCACCAGGCTAGCTTCCTGTCCAAGCTCCCTGGTGTAGGACTGGTGGTTGTCTCAGGCTTGCTGTTTTCAGGGAATGTTAGGATACTAATCATTTAGATATTCATAGATCAGAATATTGAACATAGACATAGTCCTCTCCTTTCTGCAACCTACCAATGTACATGTGACACAGGAGCTACAACTGTTTTAATTCTTTTTTATTTAAAGTTTGTTTTGTTTTGTTTTATTTTAAATATCTATTTTTATAATTATGAGTGTTTGTTCGTATATACCCTTATGTACCATGTATATACAGTGCCTATGGAGGTCATAAGAGAGAGGTGGGTACCTGGGACTTAAGTTATATAGATAGCTGTCAGATGCCATGTGTATGCTGAAAATTAAACCCAGATCTTCTGGAAGAGAAGTCAGTGCTTTTAACCACTGGGCTACTGGGCCATCTCTCTAGTGCCCAATGAAGTAATTTTAACACTATATGATTAAAATGGGGAGATACATGGGAAAATCTCCCTCTCCCTCTCCCTCTCTCCCTCTCCCTCTCTCTCTCTCTCTCTCTCTCTCTCTCTCTCTCTCTCAGTGTGTATTTCTGTGTGTCTGTATTTATTTCAGCATTGCTTTTTATAGTGAGTAGTAAATTTCTGGAGTATTTGTAGAACACAAAGGTAGACTTCTAGATTTAATAAAAGGAAAATAACTCCATAGTATCTGTTTAAAAATAACTCTGTCAGTAGTGGCTCCAATGGGGTAAAGGTCTTTCAGAATGTTTTCATTGGTTATGAAGAAAATATTGGGAAATGTGTCCTACAGAACTGAATTGTCATGGTACAGGACACATTGCCTGAATGTGTCTTGCATCACTGGGCATACTGGGTTAAACATTCAAGTCATAAGCATGCTAATTCACTACTTAAAGGAAGGACAAACAACAAAGTCCTTAAAGTGCACCTTTAACAAAATCAGAGGGATGCCCCCAGGGGGAAATGGGACTTTAGGCTCTCTTGATCCCACTTAGTGAAGTCTAAATTGCCATTTGCAAGTCTCAAATGTAGATGAGAATTTAAGGACTGGAATGCCATTAAAGAAACTCCCAAGTAGTGGGGCAAAGTTGAGTTGCTTGGATTTTTGCTTTGTTTTGTCGTTTTTTTTTTTTAAGAAAGAGAAAAATAAAGAATAAAAGTAACAGTAGCCTCATAATTGGCCTATAGAGATTTATCTCTGAGGGGGAAAGTTTCTTCTTACAAGTCCCACTTCCCCAGCAGCCCTCATCTGCACTTGGACAATGCCAGACTCCTTCTTGGAGATGAGTGAGTATAGATGGGACCAGGGCGTGAAGCCAGTGTCTCAGTCCCTCACAGCTGAAGTCAGAGCCTCCAAACCACACAGCCTCTCTTCGCTTGCTGAAAGCCTCTGACAGGTGGACTGAAACTCGTTACTAAAGAGCTACAGGTTAAGTTCTTATGTCCTACTCCAGGAAGAAAACAGATTTGTGTACCCAAACCGAGAAACAAGTCCTTTCAGATATGTCTGAGACCACCAGGCATACGACTTTGATCATTTACACAGAAAATAGTAGACTCTGCTGTCCTAGGATGTGGTGAGATCTGGGACGAAAAGGGAGAACAGGTTAAAGACTGTTCTGCTTTATTTGTGAAAAAGAGGAATAGCTTTGGAGGAAGGAAAGATAGGATTTCATTCCTCCTAAGAAGTCCTTAGCCAAAAACAGAGGCATGATAATATACTGACTATAACAGTGCCTGAGGACTTGTGGCGAAAGGTACCAGCACAGGTTAGAGACACCCCAGTATTCTATAGTGATTATCTAGAGGCTGCTTCATCTGAAGACAGGACTTCATGTTTCACAGTTGTAGTGGCATAGCATATCTGTACATCTGTGGGCATAACTGTAACCGCCCGAGCTGCCCCATGTTTGGGGGCCACTTTGTAACGGCCTGTTCTACTGCTCCGGTCTGCGGGTCAGGGTCTAGCAAGAGAGAGAGTGGGGATGGAAGGGAGACAAGGCAGAGGGTCTGATCAAGTCTCGTTTATTGAAAGGAAATCCTGGGTATTTATACCCTTTACCACATGCCTTGCCCTTGTGGACAAGCACAGCTGAAGGCACTATGTCATGTGCCTTGCAGTGTGGATATCACGTGCGCCTAGCTAGCAGTGTGGAGACCACATGCGCCTAGCTACTGGCGGCACTAAAAAGCAAAACAAGGTATGTGAGAAAACCAAGATGTTTATCAGAATGTGCTCAGCTGTTGTGGGCTGTTGAAAACAAGTCTCTTGCCAGGGTAAATGGCTCGAGATGGCTGCAAAGATGATAGCCGCTTTCTCCTCAGAGTCGGCTCCCAATAATACATAACAAAGTGGAAATGAGAATAACTTAGGCTAGCAGATAGCCAAGATAGAGATAAGTGTGCATGTGTTTCACGTTTCCTGCTGAAAAGGTTGAGTAAAATAAGAGACTGAAAAGGTTTTGCTCAATTCATGAGACTTTGGAAACCACGTGTGTATTTAGTGAAGTATAAACACAAGGTTACTAAGAGCTCCTAAGGGCATTTCTAAACACAGAATCCTTGAGGCTTCAGAAATACATCATCATTATTAGAAGTTTTGGGGAGGTATCAAGCCAGTTACATTCTTATCTTTTGATTGCCTCAGTTACAGTCAAAAGAGAACAGGAAAAACTCGAGAGAAGACAGGTTTCTGAGGCACTAGAACACCTGCTTGTTTTAGAAGAAAATGAGCAAAGGAGCTGGGTGTCCTGGAGAATGCCCACAGTCATCTCTGGTTATGCAGAGATTACACAAAAGGGGGTTTGACTCTATCCTCAGATATACAATCTTATACACACTCATACACACACACACACACACACACAACTATATATGTGTACACATTAGTGTGTGTGAGTGTTGTCTGCTTGCCATCTGTAATAAGGTAATGTCACAAAATATAAGAATCATACTGTGTGCCAATTGTGCTCATGACAGTGAGTGTGATGAACTGCAGATAATATGTTTGGGAAGTTTAACTTGGGGACCAGAAAAATGTTTATGGGCTTTTGCATAGGAACCCTGAATCTGTGAATAAGTTAAGTCTGACTAAGCATATTGTGTGATACATATACATAACTATCAGTGAGAGACAGAGAGAGACAGAGAGAGACAGAGAGACAGAGAGAGAGAGAGAGAGAGAGAGAGAGAGAGAGAGAGAGAGAGAGAGAGAGAGAGAGAGGAGAGAGAGAGAGAAGAAAGGGAGGTTAAGAAGCAGGTGTAACCAACAGTTATATCAATTATCAATAAGCTAGTTCAGGTGCGTTATTGTCCATCTCTTCCTGGTTAGCTTCTGAACCCTGCCTCTTAGTGAGGAAACATAAACTCAACCAGGAGAAAATACTGCCAGTATTTCTGTGGCCTCATGGTTGTAGATAATATCTGTGGTAGATATTGGCTATTACACTTAAGAGAGAATCTAGCTAATGCGTCTCTGAATTTGACTTGTGTCTTCACAGATAGAGACTACAGTTAACCCCTTCTTTGCTATTCTTTTGGAAGAAGAACGTAACACTGGAGATCATTCCTTCGTGTATTCTCAGCCACAGAGACAATCTTGTGAAGATTTTAAAGATGAACCATGGTTACATAGATTTCACTTTTAAAACTTCACTAATTCTGAAATGGAGCTTTTTGGACATTTCCTTGCAACTCAAAAATCTATTTGCACTTCCTATTTTCTAAATTGAAAGTCAAAGTCCTTGAGTAGACAAAGAGATAAATTGAACATCCTATTTTTATAGCTGAAGAATTCAGTGATAAGAAGGTAAATTAATAGAATTGTGTTCATAACTGTTATGTTATCTCACTGTGGGGTCTAGGATAGTAATAAGGGGGAAATAGGCCTTCAACCAAATCAAAACTCTATGACTAACAACTGGACGTAAAGAAGAGAGTGGCACTTAATGGTCACACGTTTGAACTGAGACATCCAAGCATTTCAGTCAATGCTTCACTTAAGGGAGGCTCTCAGAAGAGTTTTGGTGCCGAGCAATATTTTATTTATTGATAAATAACTTGGGCTTGGTTCTCAGGAAGCTAATGGGTAAAGAAAACCAGACATGGGTGAGTGAATTCTTGCTGCTGGGGTTGTCAAGTGACTGGGGGACCCAGGTCTCCTTGTTTGTACTGTTCTTGGCCATGTACTTGCTGACTGTCCTGGGGAATCTTCTCATCATCATCCTCATCACGCTGGACAGCAAGCTCCATACACCCATGTACTTCTTTCTCAGCATCCTGTCATTTGTGGACATCTGTTACACCAACAGCACTGTCCCCCAGATGCTCGTCCACTTCCTGTCAGCCAGGAAGTCCATCCCATTTTACAGTTGTGTGCTACAGCTATATATCTCCCTAGCAATGGGCAGCACAGAGTTCTTCTTGCTAGGTGCCATGGCCTATGACCGCTATGTGGCAGTGTGCCACCCTCTGCACTACATGGTCATCATGCATGGAGGGCTGTGTCTAGGGTTGGCTTCAGTCTGTCTGACTGCTGGTTTCACAAATTCACTAATGCAGACACTCATGATCTTCCAATTACCCTTCTGTCATCAGGTCATCAATCACTTTGCCTGTGAGATGTTGGCAGTGCTGAGGCTGAGTTGTGTGGATATCTCCCTCAACAAGGTCATGGTAGCCATCTCAGGATTTCTGGTGATCATGCTTCCTTGTATTCTGGTGCTATTTTCCTATGCTCACATTGTTGCTGCCATTCTACGCATTCGCTCTTCCCAGGGACGGCGCAAAGCCTTCGGGACTTGTGCCTCCCACCTCACAGTGGTTTCTATGTGCTTTGGAACAGCTATCTTTACATACATGAGACCTGTGGGCAGATCTTCAGCAGGACAGGAGAAGATGGTTGCTCTCTTCTATGCTGTTGTGACTCCAATGCTCAATCCTCTCATCTACAGCTTGAGGAACAATGACGTGCTTGGGGCTTTGAAAAGAACTCTGGAGAAACTTAAGGAAAGAAATAGATGAAAATAATTCCTTTTTTCTAATAGTGCAAAAGAAAACCCCCACACTTTAAATAAATAGGAATTAATGGATCTGCACTTTCTTCTTAAATTTTCTGCCAAGATGGATTATACTTTTGTAACCAATTATAGTTTTAACTATGCACTGATAAGTAAAAAACAAAATCAGAAGC